TTGTAAATAATAATGTAATGAATAACTATGTTGTTGTTTTGTTGTTGTTTAAAAAATCATTTAAACACTGATACTCAAAGTGGAACTCCCGCCGTAGCACTGTTCGGGGCTGATACGTTGAATGCAATGTTTCTTGCCACCGGTGCTGTTGGAATTAAAACATAGGAGCCATACTAAAACAAAGTTATGCCCTGAAATAGCCTGACACGCCTCTTGGTGCCTGAGACCTGGTACATTTTGGCTGTTTATGTCCTCAACGTCGCACTCTGCAATAATGAGGATCAACCCACCCAGCAACTTGGCCTAGGAGTCTTCTCAATGTTTACATCTATTTTACAGATTTGTTCCAATGTTTTTGCAGTGGTAAAACTTATGGGTTATAATTAAAATTATCAAATCTATTTACTAGGTGACAGAAACCGAGTTTTCACCAAGTTCTCAACAGAAGAGAGTGGGAATTGATTGAAGCACAAAAAAATGGGGATAACTTTGCTTGGCTTCATACCGAGTCATTTATGTGTGGCGCTAATGCCTTTTGTCTGACAAATCAAAATAGATAGTGAGTGAGTTTATTTTTACGCCGCACTGAGCAATATTCCAGCTATATGGCGGCGGTCTATAAATAATCGAGTAAGGGCCAGACAATTCTGTGATCAACATCACGAGCACCGATCTTCGCAATTGGGATGGCATGACTCAACCAAGACAGCGAGCCCGAACCCCTTAGTCGCCTCTTACGTCAAGCATGTGCTGCTGAAGACCAATTGTAACCCGGATGTTCACCATATAGCTGAAATATTGCCGGGTGTGGCGTTAAACAACAAACCAACCAGCCAATCATATTTCAAAGTTCAGCACTAGCAAACCCGTGAAGGTCCGGGTTAGAATTAACCTTTAGTAACCGATGCTTATCGTAAGAGGCGACAAACGGGATCGGGTGGTCAGGCTTGCTGGCTTGGTTGGTTGACATGTCATCAGTTCCCAATTGCGCAGATCGATGCTCATGCTGTTGATCAATGGATTGTCTGGTCCAGACTGGAATATTTACAGACCGCCTCCATATAGCTGGAATATTGCTGCGTGCGGCGTAAAACTAAACTCACTCAACACTAGCAGATCATACATACTGTTATTGTGTGCCGCTTTGCTCCACTGAAGCTGTCTAAGTGTTCTGTAGATCACGTTTTGTGACTTGCAGCTCGGATTGAGTCGCCGTGAGGTTCTTCTTGGTTGCATCTAACTCTGATTTCAGGTCTGATGTTGTGCTCCTGAGACTTGCTACGGTTTGTTCAAGCAAGCTGATATGTTGTGCGAGCATGGGCGTGTCAATGATGGCTTTGTCATGGATAACAGTAAACCCGGAAGTGTGCAGAGTGAGACACAAAAATAAAACAGACAAAGACATGTTACCTTCTCGTCCAGTCAGCTTGAACCAGTTCTGTCTTTGCCTCTGTTGTATTTATACTATAGTTCACATGACAGACCAGTCCATTCTGTGTGACCAGGGTAGGTTGGGTGTTATAAATTATACAGCAGATGATAAATCTGTTGTATGATAGCATTTGTTACAGTATGGAACGTGTATGTACATTATGTATATCCTTGTATGATTACACTCACCAGGTTTACCATAACTGTACCAAGATTACATTGTTGGGACGTTTACAAAGAAACTATCGTGTAAGATAAAAGAGCCAGCGCCGCTATGACCAGAGTCTCTCAGGTCATGTGAACCAACATGTGTATGCTACGTCGTGGCCGATAGGACCGCAATGTTGTCACACATTCTGACACGACGTCCTCACAAGCGTATACATGATGTTATACATCACAAACTGTTTGATTACTGAACTAAAAAAATTGTCACTACATCCAAATCCTCATAACATGGATTTATTGTGTGCTAAGATATCAACATCATACATAACTGTTTGATTCGCTACTGCTCGAAGAACTTCATGAAGTTTATCATATGCTGAAAAAAAAAAAGAGTATTAACGGCGTTTTTATTAAACCCATTAAGGATCAGTTGCTGATGAGAGAGGATATATGATGAAGATGATTAACAATCATTATCAACAATTGTCACTTTTGTGAAAACGAAGGAATGTTTAATTCAAATTCAAATTAATATTTTGACCTAGGGCAATCCTGACATAGTACTCAGTTGACACACACCTGCCACATTTCATGGTCATTGCTACACTGATATAGAATGGGGCGAAAAAGATATAGTGAACCCGACTTACATTTCATTATTTTCAACTTGGTAATATAACCATTTGTGATCTTTTACATGTGAAATCAAATGTGTAGGCAGTAATGGCCATCTTTGTTCAACATTCTAAAATAACACCAATCACAGGTTGGTATTAATGATATTAAACAAAATAAAATGTGTTTAGCTATGCAGATGATTCAGACAGCCGTTGGTTTGTTTTACGTTTAATGCCGCACTCAGCAATATTCCAGCTATATGGCAGCGTTTGTAAATAATCGAGTCTGGACCCGACAATCCAGTGATCAACAGCATGAACATCGATCAGTTGGGATACGATGACATGTGTCAACCAAGTCAGCGAGCCTGACCAACTATATCACATCAGTCCTGGATACGGAATCAACTGCTCGGAACGTCATCGATCTACGCAACTAGAATACAATGAGATGGTTGTGTCCATCAAACCTTCGAGCCTGACCACTGGATCCCGTCACTCGCCTCTTACGACAAGCATGGGGTGCTGAAGACTAATCCCAACCCTGATCCTCACAGGTGACAAGCATGGGGTGGCTGTAAAGACTAATCCCATCCCTGATCCTCACAGGTGACAAGCATGGGGGTGGCTGAAGACTAATAACAATCCCTGATCCTCACAGGTGACGTCCATGGGACTTTACCTCAGTAATGTTACGAGCGAGAGACTCAGGTGGGTCCTGAAGGGTCCAGACAAAGGTTCTGGTCGTCCTTCGTCATGGAGCTTGTCAACCTTTCCAGTCCTTCCAGAACCAGCTTCTTAAAGGAGTCTGTCGCCGAACTGTGCACACCTATCAATGTCAGACAAATAACGCTAAGGGACTATATCTCACCATATGGAATCAACTGTTTCGGAACTCATACATGTTGCTGTTGAACTGGGTCTAAAATATCTCATGTCATACAGGTATTTGGAAAACACACAGAAACAATAATGATTTGAAGTAATTTTGGACAAGTGGCCTTGTTTCATGTTTTAACCGGTATTCACCGAGACAAATTCAAATAATGCACAGACTTGTATATTAATTGGAAGTTTGTTGTTCAACGGTGCTTTATTCCATCTGTAAATGATCCAAGTCAGCACCAGACAATCTTGTGTTCAACATAGTGAGGCATCCGACCTACGCAATTGGGATACGTGCCTAGCCACCCGATGCCGTTAGTCGCCTCTTACGACAAGCAGTGGTTGCTGAAGTCTAATTCTAACCCGGATCTTCAAGGGTCTCCCAGGTACCTATGGTGTAAAGGTTGATGACATAGCTGCGTCCTTACCAACAATACTCTTCAGTTTTGCTAGGGCCTCGTCCGGAGTAATGTTTCCTTTAGCACCCTGTACAAGAATATTACTGACTTGACCTTCAGCCCATGTAATCACTGGTTTCAGATCATCTCCCTTGCCTTTTCCAGAACTCCGTGAAGGTCCGCCTCGAGACGTTGGAACGTTGAGCTGTAATTGAATTATTTTTTCAAGTTTGTTAGGTTTGTAGGATAAATTCGTAATGGATATTGACGCCAGCGTGAACGTTGAGTACTGCAATCGGCTATGATTAAGTCAATAACAGTAGCGTTTAATAATCTTCGAAATACTAACTGTGACATTGTGGTTGTTTCTCTGTCCTTTTCTGAAGGGATGGTTTTAATCCAGCTAGGGTCCATGCCGCTATTTATAATACTCTATTTATATATCGCGGAGTTCCAGCTAGGCTGCTCACGGCCCCTTACAGAGTCTGTACACACAATGTAGGTCCCCATAGTCTCTACTGTGGTGATCTGACTTCAGCTGATAGCCATATTCAGTCCGTTTTTATATTGTGTCCAAAATATTGTTATAATGTTAAAGTTACATTCTAGTTTTAGATCTCAAACTACTCACTCAATCACTGAACAACCGACCGAGCCTATATATTTCTGGTTTTGGCGACTCTACATTCGTGCTCGTAGTCTTCACTCAAATGGTAAACGACTGAGACCTGCATCATTTCGTGCCACATAGAGCAGACTCACAATCATTTAACAGGAATATTGTTCAGCCTTATTTTTTCATTTATTTATTTAACGCCACACACAGTAAAATCCCAGCTATATGACGCCGGCTGCAAATAATCGAGTCTGGACCAGACAATCAAGTGACCAATACCATGAGCATCGATCTACGCAGTTGTGATGCAAAGATATCGAGCAAGCCCTGACCAATCTTCGATCCTGTTAGTTGCCCCTGGTTTTCTGAAGATCAGTTGTTCTTCACGGGTGCCTCAAAGTACCGTTTAACTCAACTTGCTCACTACCCAACTACCAAACAGCACATGGCGGTTACAATGTGTCTGATGAGGTCGACTTTAACAATAAAATATCAACAATACACGTTAAGATCGTCTTTATGCATTTCTCGTCACGATATAGCTGAAATATTGCCGATGTGACGTTAAATAATAACTCACTCACTCACTCTTTATACATTACACAGACATGTATCATGCGCTGCTGTATACTTACCTTAAGTCTCGCTTGGTGTTATTTCTGTCGTGGAGTGCGTTTACAGTGTTCAGAGCTAAAGCTGAAAAGATCGAAAGCTAACGTTAGCATTAATCATAAAACGCCACGCCAAGTATACTGCACTTTCCAAAGAGACTTACGACCTGTACGTAAGTAGATGTAAGTAGTCGCAGAGTTGAAGATCTGTGGAAGATGTGGTGATGAGCGTGTGGTTCTTATGTGTGATTGTTTGCTGTTTACTGCCCAAAGGTACTGTAAGTCCCCATGGTCCCTGGTATGGTGACCTACCTTCGGTGGCTGGCGATCTATAGCCCATTTTATGTTGTAATGTCCTACATAGTATCTAATTTTTAAGTTACATGCTAGTTTTAAATCTCTTACTGTGATATACTGGTTGTTCCACTGTCCTTTTGGCGACAGATTTTTATAAAATAAAATTCTAAAGTATTAACTGTTCTAGTCACGATATGGCTAAAATATTTTCAAAGTGACTTTTAATTTTAACTCACTCACTCACTGTTTACTGCCGCACTCGGAAATATTCCAGCTGTATGGCGGCGGTCAAGGACAGGTCAGTGATCAACAACAAGTCCATCTATGTAAGTAATAGGGATGCGATTACATGTGTCAACCAGCCTGACCACCCGATTCTGTTTATGGCGCCTCTTACGACAAGCATAGGTTACTGAAGATCAATTCTAACCCGGAAATTAACGGGTAATTCTATTTGAAATAAGAAGTGTTTATCAGTACAATATTGAACAAGTTTTTATGGATAACAACTTCTTTATTTGGTGAGTGCGACGTTTCGAAACAGATTCTTGTACCGTTGTCAAGCAAGAGTGATACATGAAGTGGAGGAGCTGCATATTTATACTCTGTATAACAATGAAACTACATGCATTGTAATTGACAAAGGAAACAACATAATTGCCAACATTGAAAAAGGTCTCCAACAACTTGCACCCGGTGGAAAGGTTGACTTCCTCCGACACCAGATCACCAGTATTCTCCACTCAAGCCCAGCCTCAGAAAACCAAACATCACACCAGCTGATAAACAAGCCATCAGACAACTAAAACAACATCCTGATATTGTCATCGCCCCAGCCGTCAAGGGCAGAGCCACTGTAGTCTTGGACAAGGACCACTTCCACTCCATGGTGGACAACCTCCTAGATGACACCTCAACCTACGAAAGGTTGACGAGGGACCCGACTACAAAGCTCAACCGTCAGCATAAGGCCACGCTAAAAACGCTGCATGAAAAATATGAACTCTCAACAGATCTGTATCGTAAACTCACAGTATCTCACCCCAGCCATCTTATGCCCGAGCAACAGTCAACATCCACAAGAACCCCGTTAAAACCCGTCTACTAGTCTGTTCCCGTGACACTGTGTTCTACAGTACTGCCCAGTACCTTACCCAGTACCTCTCCCCGCTAGGTAAATCTGCCAACTCCTTCATCAATGATTCAACTGACTTCTGCTGCAAGATACGTGACATCACCAACCCAGGTGCCCATCATCAGCTACGACGTTGTGGACCTATTCACCAATGTACCTCGGGAAGAAGCCCTTCAAGCACTACGCCACAGAATTGACAACCTCCAACAACCCCTCAACACTAGCCTCTCTACCGACTCTATCATCAGCCTTACCACCGCCTGCATCAACTCCACCTACTTCACCTGGGGCGATGCCATCTATGAGCAAATCCATGGACTTCCCATGGGCTCCCCACTATCCCCATCCTAGCAGAATTTTACATGACCGACCTTGAAGATAAGGCCCTAGAAACTGCACCCTTCAAACCCTCCTGCTGGTACCGCCAAAGTGGATGACACCTTCGTCATCCTCCAACCTCAGCAAGATCCAAAGCCGCTCCTCGCCCATCTCAACAACCAACATCCCCTGAATCAAATTCACCATAGAAACAGAGCAGAACAACCAACTACCTTTCCTTGATGTCCTTGTATCCCGCACCTCCTGCAACCAACTCCAGACCTCCGTGTATCAGAAAACCTACCCATACGGATCAATACATCCACTACAACTACAACCACCAACCTAAAGTCAAGACCGGCGTCATCTCTACATTGACCAGAAGAGCCAAAACATCTGCTCAACAAACCTACAAGAAGAAATTGAACACCTAACGAAAGTCTTTGTAGAACGCAACCACTACGCACCTGAAATAGTCAACAGAACCATCGAAGCAACGCTTTCACCTCCTGCCAACAGATCTAAACCAGAATCAGCCCCCATCAAGATATCCATTCCCTACATAGGTAAACCATCACATCAAATCAGCCGACTCCTGGAAACAACAGGCAGGCATAGACACAACCTTCTCAGCGTCCTCCAGCCTCAACAACCTCCCTCCATGCCAACGGAAGAAAACAAACCACCGTCAACAACAACAACCCGAAATGTGTTATTTATAAAATAAACTGTGATTGTGGACAAAGCTACATAGTAGAAACATCCCGACCCATCAACACCCGAGTCAAAGAACATCGCACCTCTGTTGCTAACTCTGACACCAAATCAGCTATCTCTGACCACATCAAGAGCAAACCCCAATCACCAAATAGAGTGGTCCGACTTCACCATTCTCGCCAACAACAAAACGGACTTCACTAAACGCAAGCTCACCGAAGCCATTCACATCAAACGCCATATAAGCCCACCTTCAACCGTGACCAAGGATACTTCATTCCATCAGCTTATGATCCACCTCCACCAAGCCCAATCTATTGTATAAACATCGCACCTATTGTATTAACATCCCCTTTATTGTACCAATTCCTGTATTTATATATCGCTGGCTTCCATTCACTACCCTTTGTGTACTCACTGGCTTCATCAGCTTACTGCTTTAACCAATTATGGCAATTATGTTGTTTCCTTGGTCAATTACAATGTATGTAGTTTCATTGTTATACACAGTATAAATATGCAGCTCCTCCACTTCTTGTATCACTCTTGCTTGACAACGGTACAAGAATCTGTATCGAAACGTCGCACTCACCAAATAAAGAAGTTGTTATCCATAAAAACTTGTTCCATATTGTACGTCCTCAACTTCTAAAATGCCACTCAAACAAGTGTTTATCAGTAGCTGAGCGAAATATTGTGTCCCCAACAATTGTCTGCACACAGGATATCCACTGGTTGTTCCTAACTGCTGTATAGTGGACTACTTCTATTTTCAGCTTGTGTCTCAATAGGCAAATTATTTTAATATTATTTCGTTGCTGAGGCACAGTTTTGTCCCTAAAGTTATTGTCAGTTATGGCGTGATTGTGCCGGTGTGGAGCGTTTGTTCAGTTATGGAGTGATTGCACGAAGTGGAGCGTTTGTCCAGTTGTGGAGTGATTGTACGGAGTGGAGTGTTTGTGCAGTTGTTGAGTGATTGTACGGAGTGGAGTGTTTGTTCAGTTGTGAGGTGATTGTATGGAGCGGAGGTTTGTTCAGTTGTGGGGTGATTGTACGGGAGCGGAGTTTTTGTTCTGTCGTGGGTGATTGTGATCACTGGAGGTTTGTTCAGTGGAGTGATTGTTCTGTCGTGTGGTGTTGTGTTTACTGATTGTACGGAATGGAGCGTTTGTTCAGTTGTGTGGTGATTGTACGGAGTGGAG